ATTTCTTAAAAATACTCCTTTCCATTATCAGATCTAAGAATGCTGATTTTGGACTCAAATTGATTTTCTGCCCTTTTGAAAAATCTTGAAACACACCTTTTACTTTAGATTTGTCATTCATCAATAAATGCAGCAAAGACGAGTATAATCATCACTAGAAGTTACAAACCACTTTTTACCGGTCATGGTGGTGACCTTTGAGGGGCCCCATACATCACGTGATTGAGGGGCCCCATACATCACTGTGAATTAGGTAAAAAGGTTTATAGGCATGGTAGGATTATGAAAGATAAGTAACTTGATGGATTTTGGATAAACAACAAATTTCACATGAAAAGATGAACAATCATAAATTTTTAAATAACTTAGGAAATAAATATTAAGATATGGGAAACTAGGATGCCTTAACCTAAAATGCCAAAGCATTTTTGATCACGAGAAGACATTAAGCAAATACTACTACCAAACCCTTGAACAATTTTATTTCTAGGAGATTTCATCATCAAATAATAAAGACCATTGACCATTCTAGCACTAGGAATCATTTTCCCAGAGTTTAGGTCTGAAATTCACAATTAGAGTCAAGGAAAACAACACCATAGTTAGAATCTTGGATAATTTACTAACAGATAACAAAGTGTATGCCAATTTAGGAACACGAAGGACAGATTAAAGGGTTATATTTTCTGGAATTTTTATTTTGACCTTTTCTTGCAATGGATGAGAAACTTCCATCTGCAGTTTTAATGCCTTCAATTCCAAAGCAAGATGAATAATTACGGAACAAGGTAGAAATTGGAGTCATATGATCAGATGCCCCTAAATCATGGGACAGAATTTTTTCCACAAGGAAGAGCATTAGGCATAATACTTGTTTGTGCAAAAGAACCACTAGGAGTACCGAATGAGAAAATGGTTTCTAGCAATTTAAGGAGATGATCCATTTGCTCCTTGTTAATTAGATTTGCTTCAGCCTTGTTTGCATAAAAGGGTCCATGTGTTGGTTTTTCACTTGGTTTGCTGCTCTTCCAATTTGCGTGCTTCCCACGGAATTTTCTAGCAGTTCTCTCGAGTATGGCATGGTCTATTGTAGTGATCACACCAAACGCAAGATTTTCTGTTCTGCTGAGATTTAAAAACCTTGTTTGCACTTGCATTTGAATAAACCATGGCTGAGTTTCTACAGGGTGTAAGAGAACCCTTCTTTCCAAGCATAACATTCCTATGACTTTTGTTCCTTCTGACTTCAGCAAAGTTCACTAATTGGTGGTAAAGGCTGGTGGCCAATTATTCTCCCTTTAACTTCATCAAATTCTATGTTTAATTCAACCAAGAATTTGTAGATATGTTGATCTTCCATCATCTTTTTGTAGTGATTACATTCGTTAACTGATTTCCACTCATATTCATTGAATGGGTCCAAATCTTGCCATAACCTTTTCAATGAATTGAAATACTCAATGACACTGTCCTCACATTGACGAATTTCACCAAGTTTAATCGTCAATATATATATTTGGAACTGATTTTCCAAATTTGAATACATCTGGGTGACATTATCGTAGAGTTTCTTGCCTGTCAGATAACACATGTAGTTAGAGCTGATGTCCTCTTTCATGGGATTGACTAACCAAATCATGACCATGGAGTTTTTGGCATCCCAAACAGCATATGTCAAGTCCTCTTAGCTGGTGCCCTTTTTTTTTTCAAGTATCTGATTTTTTCTCGGCCCCGAATGTACATCAAAAATTATTGCCATTGAGTTTAATATTTGTAATTTGTACTGGGTGAGAATCAGTACTTGGAGGTATTTTTCTCAATGGGCATTGAAGGATCAACAATGATGGATTCAATTTTAGACATGATGAATAGCAGCTATGACTTTCTTGGTTATGGATCAAAAAAGTCTAGGGTTTTCTTAGTAGAGTCAAAGAATAAGTCCTTGCATTGATACGGTGTCAAATGGAATAGAAAAAACACTTTTTATTTCTTGTAAAAAAAGAAAGTATAACACCCTATTTATAATAGATATAAGAACATAAATTAGAGCTTAATTAATTATAAAATATAGACTTCCCTATCATGTAGCATTGACTATGTCTAAATCTCTACAGCTGTAATATCTCATAAATCATTATAGATTTACAACTATAATATCCCATAAATTATGGTAAATGGTTTCACTTAATTTTGTGTAATAGTGTTCATATTGAAATATTGAAATAATTGTCTATCTGATAACTATGAATTGTTAATTTGTTGAACTGAGGAAAGATAGTGACGTGAACAAGAAAGACTGATATTTAAGTTTCACTATAACACCCAAAAAAAAGTGTTTTGTTTATTGGTATCTGCATTAAGTTGCCCATTTTTCTTGGAATGAGCAAAGTTCATGAATTTAAATGTAAAATTTTTTCTTCTTCTATGTATATTGAATAAGTTGACTTAATGGACTTTGCAGTGGAAATGATGAGACTTCTGTCTATAAAACATTTACTTGATTTGTTGAAGTGCTTCCTTTAAACATCCAGGTAGGCCTTTAGAAAAATGGTACTACTTCTGCATTATAATGAAAGGAAAACTAGATGGAAATTCCCTTAGTGGCATATGGAGTTTGTCCAATTACCTCATTCCTGTTAAAACTCATCCCACTGCTTTGGAAAGGGACCCAAAGGACTGGGAGTAACTGCATTGAATAGAATTGGAATGATGAGCATCTGCCATATTATCTCCACACGCCCCGCGCCCTCCACACACCCCCCCCTCCCGCGGGGAAGTCGGTGGTAATGAAATCATGTTTGCACTTTCATTGTTCTGCAGCATATTGGTCTTCTCTATCAACTTTACTTCAGAGTTATCTTATGGATTGTATTTGTTTCTATAGTCATCGTTAATATGCACGCATTCCTTTCTCAGGTAAGGGATGAATTGGAACACCTATTAGATGATGATGAGGATATGGCTGAGATGTATCTGACTGAAAAAAATGATGGACATTGAAAATTCTTCTCAGTCATCAGTGAACGAGGAAGATGGAATGGATGAAAATGGTAGGGATGGCAGGTATGCAATGTCATGTACAACCCTTTGTGCACCTAGCCTCTTTGACTCAGGTTTACATTGCATGTTCGGTGTATGAAATTTTTTCTTGTAAAATATCAGGATTCCTGCTGAAACTTCGTTAGGTAATAATGGGGATTCCACCAGTTATGAAGGAGAAGTTCAAAATATTGATACGCCCAAGAACAGTTATACGTGGCATCTCATGCGACTATCAGAGACAGTTATGGAACCCGCACTAGTACCACCCATAGTGCCACAGGCAAGCATCTTGATGTGGAGGAACTTGAAATGCTACTTGAAGCTTACTTTGTTCAAATTGATGGCACATTGAATAAACTCTCCACAGTATGCTACTTAACCTTGCACTTGTCTTTACATGTTTTCATCAATTTAAATGCTTGTTCTTGTCATTAAGAATTGTTGATTCTGGTGTGATAAATGCTATCCATATAAAACTTGCATTTTAGAAAGAAGAAATCAAGATAATAGTAGTAGCATTTTTGGAGATTAAAGATGTGCTATTCTTGGCTTTGATCCATAGAGTAAATGCAATGGTCCACATAATTCATATATTTGCCCAAAGGGATTATAGTTTACTGTTGTGCCTATGTTTTAGTATTTTTTTTTCCTTTATTTTTAATTTATTATTATTTTTTTAAAAAAATAGAAAGCCCATTTGGCACATTATGCTTCAAAACTGTTTTTAGAAGAATTTTCAGAAAACAGCCCATCTAGATAACAATAAATTTTGTTTTCCCAACTCTAGGAAACTATTTTTTGTCCAAAAATAAAGTTTTCAAGATATTTTAAAGTTTCCTATTTTCAAAAACACAGAAAATGAAGAAAATCAACCAGCAAACAGAGCCAAAGAAGCCCAAGTTTTGAAATTAAGAACACATCATGCACTTAGTTAAAAAACATAATCTAATACCAATCCTTGTGCTCTTGGAAGCTGAGGGAGTATGTTGATGACACGGAGGACTACATCAACATTATGCTAGATGACAAACAAAACCATCTTCTTCAGATGGGGGTTATGTTGACAACAGCAACCCTTGTAGTTAGTGCATTTGTTGTTGTATGTGGAGTCCTTGGCATGAACATCAAAATCGAACTCTTTGATAAAGAAAAAGCTAGTATGCAAGAATTCTTGTGACCGCTGGTGGTGGGACTACGGGTTGCATATTCTTGTACGTGGTAGCTGTTGCCTGGTATAAGCATAAGCGCTTGTTAGAATGATTCAAATGCTGTGTGTAAGAACAAAGAGTTTATGGGTTAAGAATTGCTTTTGCTGATTGATATTTGAACTATGTTTCCGTCTATGTAACTGCTTAAAGCTTGAGGTGGGATTTGCCAAACTTTTCTTGTGGCTGAATGGTTTCACTCGCACACCGGACGTCTTCAGATTGTAGGATCGGGTAGTTTTTGAATATTTACTCACAACGTATGGACGAGCAGTTCCCATGCAAAATGTAATTGTTCCTTCTCTAGTATCTTTTATACTTTGTATTTATGTAATGGTGAATGGATGATAAATCTTGTTGTCTTGGACTTTGTTTTGCACTCAATTGTAAGAAAGAAAGAAAAAGCTAGCATGTTAAATCAAATTTAACGGTCTAGAAAATGAAATTGTTAAATTTAGTTAAACATAAACCACTTCCTTATTTCCGTTGTCTTCAACGAAAGGCAAAGTTATGTTGTGGCTAGCAAGTTATCACTGTGATTGCGCTTGTGACTTTTACTGACCAAAAAATGAAAGTGTAGACAAAAGATCTTGATGAATGGATATCGACCCACTATTAGAAAAGGACTTTTGGAGTGGCTTACTTCAGAAAAAAGAAAAACTAAAAATAGAGAGGGGAATATCATCTACATCATCATTAACTGGTGGCTCAGAGAGAGAGAGAGAGAGAGAGAGAGAGAGAGAGAGAGAGAGAATGGCGCTAAGAGCAAGTGCAGGCAAATTTGCTTCCGTGGCCGAAACAGAGGATGGAGAGGAGAGGCAGAAAGATGATAGAGATGGGAAGGAGAAGCCTCCTCCTCTCAACTCTTCTTTCTGCTTCCCAAGTCAACGATTCCAGGACTGAACTTCTCAAGAGTAAAGATTCCACAAGCAATTTCTACAATTCTATATCTTTTTCTTTTTTCCTTTTGATAATATCTAAGCTATACTTCTACCTGGATCTCTAAAGAATTGAGAAACTGAATACAGAGTATCTGAAGAAATCAGAAGACAACAAGGCCAAGAATGATAAGGAGGTAACCCGTCACTCCCTGACACCCACTGGATAATACGAGAAGAGAGAGATTCTTCACTTCTAATGAAGCTCTGTAATGATTTATTTCTGAAAACAATTTTTGTTTTCGTAATTAGAAACTCATTTGGAAGGTTGTTTTAGGAAAAGTTCGGGAGAAAATTTTTAGAACAGCAAAAGAATTTTCAGACAAACTATTTCTGCTTGAAAGCGAAAACAACATAAAAGCAACAGAATTTGTCATTATTCCAGTGACTTTTGTTTTCGGAAACACAGAAAACAAAAGAAAAATACATGTCTCTGATACTGAGATGGTTATTTTATATGCAGAGGCTGGAGAGTTACTACAAGAGGAATTACAAGGACTACTTTGATTTCGTTGAAGGGTCTCTGAGGGCGAAGAAGGGAGAACTCTCTGAATCAGAACAGGGGATTCTTGACTGGCTTCAGAAGAACAAGTGAACTAGACCTACCCATCAGCTTAACTACCCACAATTACTCTTTTCCTGTCAATTCAAAGCTTCTTTCTCCAAGCAAAAATTCTCTCGTGTTTTTTAAATTTATGTTCGTTACTGTCGAATTTATTTAGGTTCTGTGTCAGAGTATAATTTTTCTCTCAAATGATCATATGAAATGCCAAAGAAAAAACTAAAGGAGTTGGTTGAAGGGGGAAAATATTGAACATGTATCTGGAAAAGATCTTGACTTTCTAAAACTCGGCCAACATGTGACCTTTGTTTTTTACTTCTTTGGATATCAAAGATGAAGAAACAAAAGCAAAAACAAGAAAAATAACCCAAAACGGGACAGCAGCTGCACAACATCAATCCAGAACCAAGCTCTGCTCTCCTGAGCCCTTAGGTGTAATCCAGTGACTGAAGGAATTCAAGGTTTCCTTCTGGAGCGCTACAGGCAGGCATTTCAACTAACAAGCTGAAGAAATTTTTTAGAAAATTGCAGAGAATGTTTCTTTATTATTATTATTATTATTTGAATGAGTTTTTAATAGTTTGGAATGCGAGGGCATGCTGCATGCGTTTGCTTTAAATAAATTAATTAACAAAATCTTGACGCAAAAAGCTCTTTTCTTTGTTTCCTTTTTTTTAAAACCTTGAAGAGAGCATCTGACGTATCCCTCTATGGAGATGATTTGGAAAAAATTTACCGCCTCAAATCTTGTAACTTTGTTTAATTAATTAGATTTGGAGAAAATAAATTTTTTTTAAAAGAAAATCAATTAACAAAGGTGTTTTCATAAAAGCGAACGGCTTTTGTGAAATCCACTTTTACGAAACTTTCATTTGATATATATTCTAAACTACGTAAGTTAAACTCTTCAACTAAACAAAAAAATATATATCAATTACATTTAGGGAAATTATTTATTTGAAATTTGCTGATGTCGTGCCTGATTTGAATGAAATTTTTCTATTAGAAGTTGCCCTTATTGCCTTTTCTCATGCTTGATCTTGTCGATACTTGCCGGAGATGGCCTCTCCGACATCCCAAACACAAGCTCAGATAAAAGTACCTGATTTGCTGAGAAGAGATCTCAATCTAGTGGACGAGAAGAAGAAGACTCGGGCCAAACCCTGAAACTCTTGGATTGTATAACAACACATCAGCGATGGCTATGGCGGGCAAAGTGTTTAGAAGAAGGCAATGGCAGAACCCTCGGACTGAGAGTGGGGACATTTAATCCTCTGAATTACCTCCGTCTCGTAACGGCTCCTGTAAAATCAGCACTCGAGTAGTCCTAAAACGACTCCTTCACCACCTTCAGACTCGTCTCAAATGCTCGATCCAACAGTCTCCTTGCCGAGTCCCTTGAGGAGAAGTCCCTCAAAAACTTCTTGCAACGAAATTGGCATCATGTTGAGATGGGTATGAATCGCCGCCATAATCAATCCATAAAGCATTTCCTCTGACGAACGTACTTCCCTGGCAAAACCCTAGCGAGAAGCTCTCGAGAATCTTCGCTGCCGTTCTTTCATGTGTTCAAAGCCATACTTTTTTGGCAGAGTGTAGTAGGAAATATTCAAGACACACTCCCTGTGCTATATGCTATGCGTGTTATATGTATTTCAAAGAATATTTTTAAAATAATAATTTTTTTACATTATTTTTAAATATAAAAATTTATATAAAAAAATGAATATGTTTAAAGTTGATATAAATAAAATAATAAATTTAAAAATAAATATATAATTAAATGTAAAAATTAAGAGATGATAAAAATTTGTTAATTGGTGAGGAGATAAAAATAAAATTTATTTAGGGGTTAAGTATTTGATTTTGGAATTAATCAGTTTAGATTAGATATAATTTTATTTTTTATATTAGAAATTATCTTCATTATCTCATTAAATAAGAAATTAAAGTATGAATACCAATTATTAAGAGTTTATTATTTGTTTTAGTTATATATTTAATATAACGGAGTTTAACTTTTCAGATAATGTCAATTATTAATATAAAATTATTTTTGTATTTAGTGTATAATTGATCACTGTTTACTTCCTATCAGTAATAAACAAAAAATATAAAAATTTAATTTTTAAACATTTTCTATAATTTTATATTAATTCTTTTTAGATGATTAGAAATTTTGATTAATTTTAAAAGAAAGTAAACACAGCCACAAAAAAAAAAAAAAAGCAAAAAAAAAGAAGAAGAAGACACGCCCTCTAACTTTAATCCGCGATGGCCTACTCGATTCTGAGTTAAAAAAGAAATTTTGAAAATGGTGAAAGTAAATAAGTTTAGAAAGATATTAATTATAAAATAAATGTAAAATTACAATAAATCAAATCGAGGGTCTGATTTTTCTGTAACTTAAATTAAACCAGTATAACGGGTAACACTGTTCGAAGCGTCGCCCACCCCCAAAAAAACCGAAGCCTTCGTCCGTAAGAAAGGATGAAAAGACAAGGGAAGAAAGCAATACTGAAGGGAGAGCAGAAAGCGGGAGACTCGGAGTCCTTTCCCAAGTCGTCCCTTTGTCTTCGTCCACAATTTTATGGTGTTACTGAACATCAATCTTTATGCAAGCTTGAAGTTCTGAAAGCAGACCATCAATCTTTTGTACTCACTACAGCAAAGACCAAAGGTAAGCCACTTTACTGATCTTCTTTTTTTTTACTCTTGTTCATTTATGTATGGATCTGTCAATGTTTCCAGTTCAGCTTTTCTCTCTTTCCATTTTTTCGTGCTACAGGATTGGTACTTGGTATATCTCATTGCTTCTCTGATTCTCTGCGTGGATTGAACAATTACTTCCCCATTCCACGCCCATCCACCCACGCACACAGTAAAATCTAAAAATGTTTGACCCTTATGAAATTTACGTGGTAATATTTTCTGTGGCTCTGGTGTCGAAAACAGTGTTCCTTGCTTCTGTTAGTTATTTATGTTTTTTAGAAGATATATTTGACTTCATAAATTCGTAGGATATTAAGTTAGCACGGTGCCATTCAACGTGATTCTCCTTTGCTTACCGACGTGGGAGTGTTTTCTTTTGGACTCGTATTTGGTTAAAACTTTACGAACAACTTCCATATCGGAATTTTTATTATGAGCCTATTTCTTGATTTAATGAACTCAAGATTCTTAGCTAATAAGAAAGCTCGTGATATGAAACAAAGAAAATGATATCCAATTTTGGTCATCAAAGCGGCCGTCAATTGTCTGCTTAGAGAAGATAGTAAAGTAGCTAGTTGCCGCCCACTTTTGTGTTGCACTGGATAGTTGTATTTACTTTCCTCTCTACTTTTAAGTGCTTTTGCCTGCTTTTTAGACACCTTAATTCCAGTGTACTGGTCTCTTAGTATCAGTATAGTTCAGCATCCAAAGCACATCTTCGAGGAAATATAGACCAACATGGAAGAGGAGGCCCACAAAGATTCTGCAATTGGTACTAAAAGTGAAGTATAAAAGTGTAAAGGTTCATTACCAGCTATCTTTTCATGTTCGTATGGTTATACAAATTTATTTCTCTTCATCACCATATTAATTACCCACTAGTAACCACTTTGTCTTTTCTTTTGACAGATATCAGTTTTCAATGAGGCACTGTGATGTTAACTGGAATTTTTTTTGAATATTTGCAGAAGTTTTAAGATCAATGAGAGAATTACCCCCGGCTCATTACCTGCTTAGGATAGAGCATTTTTTCTGTTCTCTTGGAAGAAGATATTGAAAAATTTGAATCAGATGACTTTGAAGCAGGGGGCTATAAGATGGTGTGTTTGAACTTTGAATTTTCTTCTATAACATACAGTGTTTTATCTATGTTGCTAGTACTACACTATCGAAAGAAATTTCAATTTGTTTCAGGAGATTGTGCTTATATCCTAAGGGTACAAAGAAAGAAATGGAAATGGCTGCATCTCACTCTATTTGGTCATAAGGATACCCATGATCTCCCTCATGGTTGGGATGTTAACGTCGAGTTCAGATTATTTGTCTACAATCATATAGAAGATAAGTATTTGACCATCCAAGGTAGTTAATTTCTTGATGACATGAGTTTAATAGAACTTCCTCTTATTGTGTATTATATGGTTTCTATGCGATCTATTGTTTATGTAATGTAGCTGCAATGCAAGAACAAGGCGTTTTCATCAAATGAAGACTGAATGGGGATTTGCCCAATTACTCTCCTTGGACACTTTCAAGCATCCGCTCGAAGGTTACCTGTTTCATGATTGTTGCATATTTGGAGTGGAGGTCTTTGTCATTAAATATGCTGGCAAAGGACAATCCCTTTCTATGATCAAGGAGCCCAAAGACAACATCTTTACTTGGAAGGTTGACAATTTTTCTACACTCAAGGGAGATCGTGTTGAGTCTGATGAGTTTGAAGTCGAGGGACAAAATTGGTATATTTGCAATGATATTGAAATGATTTTCATATATTTCCTTGTGTAATTTGTCAGTTTTCCTATTGAATTTAGGAAGTTACGTTTGTTTCCCAAGGGAAATGGAGAGAGAAGAGGAGAAAGTGTATCCCTCTTTCTGGCTATGGCTAATCATGAAGAACGTCCTCTTAATTGGAAAGTGTATGCAAAATTTATTCTTCGCATCAGGAGTCACAAACTTTTCCATGTTGAGAAAGAAAGTGAGTGGCATTTCCCATTTTCTGTGCCAGATATGATTACTATGAATATGAACTGAAACCATTTTTCCTTTCCATTTACCGTTTGGGTTTAACCATTATACTTTTCAACTACAAACATCCAATTTTCTTTGGCAGCTAGCTGCTGGTTCTCTTCCTCCATTAATGACTGGGGATTCAGTCGCTTCAAGTTGCATGAGTGAATTAGGGACACATCAAGTGGTTTTTTAGTGGAGGATACTCTGACTGTTGAAGTGGAAATCAAGGTCATGTCTGCATCTAAGATTTTCCATAAGAGATGTTTATTCTGGTATGCAGTGTACTATATGTTTCTGTTTTGAATGACTGGATCTTTCGTTGGAACCCTATGTGCTACAGGCAAGAAAATGCTTTTTGGCTTTAATTTATTGAAATCATGACTTGATCTAAAATTTGAAACTTCCTTTTAAGTTCGAGTCCTGCTATATTGCTTCCCTCTTTCAAGGAAGGGACGGCTTTCCCAAGTCCTATTAGCCTCAAAATACAAGGCCAAGTGCAACCCTATATTCTTTAGTTGTTTTTAACTTTTCCAATTTGGTTCGAGTGTTGAACCTGGAATTGGTACAAGTTCACAAGCTCACCAGTTTTACATGGAATTGGTTATCCACCCGCCTGCCCCCCCGCCCCCCCCCCCCCCCTCCAAAAAAAAAGAAAAAAGAAAAAAAGAAAAAAGAAGAAAGGGGGGATGCTTTATTATTTTTAACTTTCACCAAAATATAGTTGCAATTTAATAAAAATCATTTTATAAAAAAGATAAATATCAGCAGCTTACATGCTAACATTTATTATTTTCCAAATTTTATCAAGAGAAGGTAATATATACTATAAATAATCTGAATACTTAACCCGTTGGTTCTGGATTGAGTTTGAATAGTTGCTCTAATGAAAATTGTGGACAACCGAATGGAATTGGTCCCGGACTTCTACGGTCGGTATTATATTTCGATCCAAATTAATTATATAAAAATCATAGCAACCAAACACAACCTTATCTTCATCTCTTTTTGCTGGTATGATTTTCTCCAACTCAAAAGAGCTTCACTCAATCATGACCGTGGGATTATAAAATCTGTTTAATGCAGAACTCTGTAATCTGTTTAGATTGCCAACTTCTAAGGCTTTTCGGATTTCCTTCCCATCCACAATCCTAGGCTGGTGAGGTCACATATCCATGACTCTCTCTGAGGTTAACTCATGTAATAAATATGTTACTTTTCTTTGTTAATATGAATGTATATTTTTTTAATTTTTTTTATCAGCGATAATAATTATAAAAGTAATAATTTTTGAAAAAATGTAAAAAATAAATTAGAATGATTTTTCCGAATTGTTCTCCTATTATGGTTTGCATTGTTGTCCAATGATGATTTTGAGAGTAAATTAATTATGTTCTCAAAAAAAAAATTTATTCTTCAAAAATTTTTAATGAATCTTTTCTTTTCTTGCACAGAATACAACATAATAATTAATAAATCTCGTAAGATCTTGTCATTTTTCTGTTATTATTTGTCAACAACTATCATTGCAAAAACCCATATTTTATATTAAATAAATGAAAGACAAAAAGGGTTGCTATTAAATAGAGCAGTCAATGGGTTAAATTTTAATTCTAATACAATTTGAATTTGATCTGAATTTTGGATTCAAATTCAATTAAAGTATATGATAGATTAGATCTAATTATAAATATTTATAATCTGAAATAAGTGAATCAGATATGGAATTAAGTAATCCGATTTGTTAAATATCTGAATCTGAATTTAATAATATTTTTATTAAACTAATAAATTACATATAATATAATTTTAATAAATACTAAATTGTAGGGGCTAAATTGAAAAAATTTAAAAAATTAAAGAACTAATATTATTGATAGAACAAAGTTAGGGGACTTAAATATAAAATAATATTATTTTCTTTTTGGATCAAATTTTTTTATCGAATTTGAATTATCTATCAAGTTCAAATATAGTTTAATAGGCACATATCTTGTAAGATCTTAGACAGGATTCAGATACGGTAATAGATAATTAAATTTGGATTCAAATTCAAATTCAAATTTGTTTGATTTGATCCAAATTCGATCCGTTTATGACTCTACTATCAAACTTCTCTTAAGGTCTCTTTGATATGGTTATATGAAGACCATAGAAGAGAGCTACATATAAGTAGGTAAACATGATAAATTAAAAATATTTAAATTGCTTTCAAAAATATTAATAAAGATTAAATAATTATATAAGATTATTGTAAATTTCATATTAATTCTTACTTAACTTAATCTTTTAGTACTTTTCTAGTGTAGATCAGCATGGAGCACTAGGGGCAATTGCCAGGAGCCCGAGGCAACGCTATTAAGGACAGGCTTTACATAATTCTTATTACTACTAATTTGAAGGACCTGTTCCGAAAATTTAAAAAGAAAAAAAAATTGACTTCTTACGTAACATTTTCAAAAATTTTTTTCCATAAATGTTGATATTTTTTTCTTTGAGAAATATGTAACTTTGGATTTTTTGAGCCGAAAGGTAGAATGCTTGATCAATTGGTTTTCCTCGTACACAGAACGTTTAGTTTGTTGGCCTAATAAGGACTTTTCTCATTATAAGTCCCAAAACAGAGCTTTTGCAAAAGTCTTGGCTTTTTTAAAGGCTGACTTATCAAACACCTCAACATGTTACCAGGCAATTGCGATGAAAGGAATGCAAACACTAAAAAAGGATAAAAGACGAGAGAGAGAGATGAGGCGCACTGACACTTTCTCTGAATCACTTGCACTCTTCTACTGTGTTTGATCTCCATAACTAATTATATACTGTTGAAACTTCTGTTAATTATGTGTTCTCGAGGGATCGTGCTTCTATCTTAACAAAAATAAGAAAACGAATGAAAAATTGTCACACCTCACTCTACTTGGTCTCAAGGGACACCAATAATCTCCTCAAGTTTGGGAGGTTAATGCCCAGTTCAAAGTCTTTCATATACTACAAGTATCTAATAATCCAAAAGTTGATTATTACCCACATAAAAGAGAAAGAAAATGAAAACTTACTGTCATCGGTACAAGAAAGTAAATGGCAAGTCAAATAAAAGAAAATAAAAGTAAAAGGAATTGGTTTTTTCTCTATCTAGTGGGCGACCTAACCCCGAGAGGCTCAAACTAAAGAAAACAGAAGTTCCTACAAATCGAGGGTCTGATTTTTCTCTAAAGGGGCTTTTTTATATTAATAATATATTTATTTTCTTAATTAATAAAATATGTAAAAGTAAAATTAATTATTCAAATATGTAAAACTGATTTTTATAAGTAAGTTGGTTTAGTGAAATTGACTTTTACATAGAAGTAAATTTTTGCAAACGGTCTTTCATGTAAAAGTTAATTCAAGCTAAAATGAACTTATCAAAATTGATTTTACATATTTTAATAATTAATATTCATTTTTGTAATTAAAAAATTATAATATTAATATTAAGAAGCCCTTAAATCAAACCAAGAATGTCGGGTAACATTGTTTGAAGCGCATCACAAACCGGAAGTCTTCGTCCCTAAGAAAAGGTGAAGAGGAAAAGGAAGGAAGCAATAATGAAAAGGGAAGTAGAGAGAGTGGTAGTGAAGTCCTTTTCGATTCCCATGTCGTCCCTTTGTCTTCGTCTGCAATTTTATGCGTGTTACTGGACGTCCAATAATTTAAAACTTTTTGACCTTCATAAAATTTACGCGGGAATATTTTCTGTTGGGTATTTCGTTGAAAACAGTGTTCTTTTCCTTTTGTTAATAATTTATTTAGCTTAGAAAATGAGTAAGATTAATTGATATATGGTGTAAATATATCATTTTTTAATTTAGTTAAAATTAGTAAATGACATTAATTTTTAATAATTTTTAATAATTAATTTAACTTTAATAAATCTCACCTATTAATTTTGACCAAATTAACAGTGAAAAATATAATATAAATACCTTACACTTATACCAAAAATTAATTCATCGTTGTTCAAAATTAAACATATTAATTTAACCCGTGTCACTTACAGTGGCTCCTTTTTGCTTACCGACGTGGAAATGTTTTCTTTCTCCTTTTTGCTTACCGACGTGGAAATGTTTTCTTTAAGATTCATATTTGGTTAAAATTTTATGAACAACTTCCGTGTTGGAATTTTATGAACCTATATCTTCTTTTAATGAACTTAAGACCCAGACGATTCTTAGATAATAAGAAAGCTCCTGATATGACAAGAAAATGAAATCCAATTTTGTTCATCGAAGTCGCCGTCACTTTTCTGCTTAGAGAAGATAGTTGCTGCCCACGTTTGTGCTGCACTGTACAGTTTTTATAGTTTTCTTTTCACTTTTAAGGGGTTTATAGCCTGCCTTTAGACATCTTTAAATCCCGTGTACTGGTCTCTTAATATCAGCATAGTTCAGCATCCACAGCACATCTTCAAGGAAAGATAGACCAACCATGGAAGAGGAGCTCCGCAAAGATGCTGCAATTGGTATGTGAAAGTAGCATTACCAGCTATTTTTTCGTATTCATATGGTTATATAAATATATTTCTCTTCATCATCATATCAATCACCCGCTAGTAGCTACTTTTGTCTTTTCTTTTGGACAGGAAATCAGTATTCCATGAGCTACTGTGATGTTGACTGGATTTTTTTGAATATTTGCAGAAGTTTTAAGATCAAGGAGAGATTTTCACCCAGCTCATTACCTATTCAAGATAGAGCATTTTTCTGTTCTTTTGGAAGAAGATATTGAAAAATGTGAATCAGATGACTTCGAAGCAGGGGGCTATAAATGGTGTGTTCTAACTTCCAATTTTTTCTAAACCATGTAGTGTTTTTAACGTATATTGCTAGTAATATAGTATTGGAAGGAATTTTAATTTATTTCAGGAGATTGTGCTTATATCCCAAGGGTAACAAAGAAAGGAATGGAAATGGCTACATCTCACTCTACTTGGTCATAAGTGATACCCGTAATCTCCCTCATGGTTGGGAGGTTAATGCCCAGTTCAGATTATTTGTCTATAACCATATAGAGAATAAGTATTTGACCATCGAAGGTGGGTAATTTCTTGATAACATAACATTAATAGAACTTCCTCCTATTATGTATTAGCTCGTTTCTATCCTACCCCTTGTTCATTGTGTAGATGCCAATGTAAGAACTAGGCATTTTCATCAACTGAAGACTGAATGGGGATTTGCCCAATTACTCTCCCTGGACACTTTCAAGCAGCCGTTGGAGGGTTACCTGTTTGAAGATTCTTGTATATTTGGAGTCGAGGTCTTTGTTATTAAATATGCTGGCAAAGGACAGATCTTTTCCATGATCAGGGAGCCCACGAACAACACCTTTACTTGCGAGATAAACAATTTTTCCACACTCAAGAGTGCTTGTGTTCAGTCTGAGATTTTTTTAGTCGAGGGACAAAAATGGTATGGGTTGGACAATGTTTGCAATGAATTTTGGTACTCTAATGAAAACGAAATGCTTTGCATGTATTTCGTTTATTTAATTTGGCAGTTTTTTTTTTGGTTGAAACCAGGAAATTACGTTTGTTTCCCAAGGGAGATGGAGACAGGAGAGGAGAAAATGTATCCTTATTTCTGGCTGTGGCCAATCACGAGTCATGTCCTCCTAATTGGAAAGTATATGCAAAATTTAAGCTTCGCATAAGGAGTCAAAAACTTGACCATGTTGATCGAGAAGGTGAGCGATATTTTCCTTTTCCATGCTAAAAGAATGAATATGAACTGAAAAGCTTTTCCTTTTCATGTACCCTTTGGTTTCAATCGTTATACTGTTTAACCACAACCATTCAATTTTCGTTGGCAGCTAGCTGCTGGTTTTCTTCCTCGAACCTTGACTGGGGATTCAGTAATTTCATGTTATTGAGTGATTTAAGGGACAAATCAAATGGCTTTTTAGTGAATGATACTTTGACTGTTGAAGTGGAAATTAAGGTCATGTCGGCATCTAAGAACTTCCCATAAGAGATGCTTATTGTTGTATCTTGTGGAACTATACCTTTCTGTTTTGAATCCTTGAATCTTTGGTTGGAGTCCTATATGCATCAGGCAACGGAAATGCTTCCTCTCTTTAATTTATTGAAATCATGAATTGCGCCAATATTTGAAACTCAAGAGGATGTTCAAATCTCACTGTATTGCTTCCCTCTTTCATGGGAACAGAGGAGTGGGGCTTTTCTGAATCTTGTAAGTCACAGACCACAAGGCCAACTGCAACCTGTGTAACTTATGGGTGGTATGGTACCATAACATAATATTTAATAAAAAATAAGAATAAAATAAAATAAAAATTTTTATGAATAGGATTGATATACAATGAGAACGTAAAAATTTTTAATTTATTATTATGATAGGTATACTGGAATGGAAGTAAAAAAATAAAATTAACAAATATTGTTCAAAGAGAAAAATATTCTTCGTTAGAAAGATTTAAAAATTAAATAAATTTAATTTATAATATATTATAAACATATTAAAAAGTTAAAAAATTAAAGATTATATATTGCATGATGTGTGATATATTACATATATATACATAAAATAATACATATTATGATATAACGTGAATTTGTGCGTGTATTATCTTTTCATATTTATAGGACAACTTTGTCCTTTACCAAAAAAAGAGGGCAATATTAAATTAGGTGATGATATAGAATTTCAATTTAAAAGATAAAATTCAAATTACTTTATTTGATGGAACTCTAATTTTTTAAGAAATGAAAATTTTTATTTCAAAATGTTTACTCGTACATTTTCTTATGATTTCAAGTCTTTTTTTTTTTTTTTTTTTCCGTAAAAGTTCAATTGTACCATTTTAATTATATATATATTTTTTCAGTTTGGTTCCAGAGGGAATTGGCACGAGTTCACAAGCTCATCAGTTTAACCCTGGAATTATGTAATGACCCAGTTTTCAAATTTATTTAAGGTGGAGGACTAAATTGTAGGAATTAAAATCTGTGGGGTCAAATTGAAATTATCTCAGGGACTAAGTTGTAAAAGGAGCAAGCTGGGGGACTGAAATGGAAATTTCCAGATTTCTGTCAGGAACAGTGGCCGAACACTGTTCCACGTCGATTCACCCACGTCGTGTGATGATTTCTTCAAATTGGTCACGCAATTGCGTGTGTTTTTGAAAGCCCTACTGAACCCCTCAACCAATTTCTGTCTTCGAGCCAAGAGGAGAGGGGAATTTGGAGTTCTTTCGTTGACGGAGGGGGGCGGACGGACGAGCAGCTTCTCCGAGCTTTTGGCCGGCTTTTCGGTGGCTTTTCTTCAACTTGAGGGTCGGCTGGTTCGGTTTTAGCTTTTGGGAGTGTCGACCGGTTCAGGTGAGTAGTTTCATGGCTGGTTTTCCGGCTGTTTCTGGTTTTTCCGGCGGGTTGGGAAGGTTTCAGGCAACCGGGTCGAGACCCGGGTTGCCGGGTGGAAGGGACGGACCCGGATGGTCCGGGTCCCCCCCCCCTGTGCTGGGCTGGTCCAGGCCGCTCGGCCTGGGCCCAGCCCAATTACTTGGGCGGCCTGCGGGCTTGGCCCGCAGGCCCGAGAAAAAAAAAAAAAAAAAAAAAAAAAAGAAGGAGAGGTGTTGGGCTCGGGCCGGCCCAGTTGAGTGGGCTGGCCCAGACGGGTCCGAGCCGCGGCTGAGCCGAGCCGAGCCGCTGGGCTGGCGGCTCAAGCCAAGCCGCGGCTCAAGCAAAAAAAAAAAAAAAAAAAAAAAAAAAAAAAGGGGAAGGGGTTTGACCGAACCGGCCGGGACTTTGACCGGCCGGTTCAGTGGCCATTTTGGCTTGGTTTTGGGAGGATGGACCGGTTCTGAGTTCAGGGGGATGAGGGCTATCAGACCAAGTGGGTTCGGGAAATTTTGGGCGCCCGGTTCGAGGTGAACCGGTCTCGGTTTGCGTGTCGATGCTTAGGATTAGGGTTTTTGGCCCGGTTCGGAGCTGGTTTGAGCCATTTTTGGCCGGTTCATAGTGGTTCCTAGGGTTTTTGGGCCTTCTGAATCCGATTTTGAGGGTTTCGTGGCCGTTTGAGTTGAGTCGGAGATAGTTTTAGATCAGGCTAAACCGGTTCGTGGGTTTTGGAGATCGGTTCGTTGCGGTTCGAGTTTTGTGGAGGCTGGTTCCGTAGTTTTGAGGGTGGTTAAGTAGATTTGTTCAGTGTTACTGAGTCGCGTAGGTTCTGGTGACAGGTCGGGTTGCCTCGAGATGCGTGCCCGGGGGCCGGTTTGGGATTTTAGTTCAGTTTGAGGCTACCGAGCCTGTTTCTTGTGCCGGTTTTGGCGTTGGTGATGGTTTTGTGTGATTTTGATTGCAGATTTGCAGGCAGGGGCACATTCGGATCACTGAGTCGGGTTAGGTGACTCGGGACTCTCGTTTTGGCTTAGCGTCTGTACTGTGAGTGATGATATCTTCTCTATGCTTGTGTTTTCATACTATGATTTCTGATATGATGATTTTGTGGGTTGAAACTTGTGTTTTGATTATATGTTACTCGGGATATGTGCTTTGTGTTTTGTGAACTGTTGGGGAGTCGGGTCGATATGTGATTTTGGTTTTGAGACATGGACTGTATATGGGCTGTATATCTGTTTGACTTGGATGTGAGGGTGGTGTGCTGTGACGGGATTTGTGGACGGCAGGAACTCGGCTAGAGTGCGGTGATCCGTAGCGTCCAGTAGGGGAGTCGGTCTGAGTCCGTGAGGGGACGGCAGAGACTCGGCTGGAGTGCGGTGACCGTAGCGTCTAGTGTGGGGTAGGCCTGAGTCCAGTGATGTGATTTGATGTTGGCTGATAGCATTCTTGAGTGTATGTTGATATGTTTTACTGATCGTTGTATGCTTAAGGTTTTAGATTTGTGCTATGATATGTATCTTGACATGCATAGATTAGGTATCATCCGTACTCACTGAGTTTCGCGACTCATAGTTTTAAACATTCCAGATTCTTTTGACTGTACTCGCCTCGGTTAGCGTGCCAGCGTGGGAGTTGACGACAGCGGACTCGATGGATGTACGGGCATTTCTCTTTTGTACTTTACCTGATTGTATTCTAGAGTAGCTTCTTTGTACTCTCAGACAGGATCCCGGGTAGTTTTTGGATGTTATATTATTACACTTTGTGTATGTTTTATATATTTGGAGTTTGACTAGTTTTGTTGAGGCTTACTGGGGTTGGTGGATCCCAGTGCCGGTCACGGGCCCGGGGTTCGGGGCGTGACAGAGTGGTATCAGAGCTATTGGTTTATTCTGAGAGTTATAAGGGAGCGGGGTTCTTTGGTAGTGCTTTTATTATGAGGGTGAGGGCCCCACTTTCATAATGAGAGGACTGCCGAAGACCTTTTAGGGTGTGTTTGGTGTTGGCTTTTCAAATTCCTTGTGTGCCCGATTCTTTGGTATCCTTTTGATCCTCGTCTTTTGTACATAGATGGACTCGCTGAGGGACGTATCGGTGACGATGGACGGGATGCCCATGGATTCTTGCGAGGCCGCTGATGCTGGGGTGTCGAGGGAGGCCGCAGGTGGGTCGGCCCCACCCCCGACTAGTGGGAGAGGACGTGGGAGAGGTCGTGGGAGGACCGTTAGGCAAGCTCGAGAGTCGACTGCTAGACCGAGTGTGACTGTACCGGTGGACTTATTGACCGGACTTATAGCAGAAGTTCGGGAATTACGGAAAGAAGTAGCAGATCTTTCTGGAGGAGGTGCAGGGGAGAGGAGACAGCAGGCCTCGGTTGGAGGACAGCAGGCCTCAGTTGGAGGACAGCCGAGCACGACGACTGCACCGGAGGGAGCGGTGCCAGAGGGGCCAGCCCCAGCTAGTACACCTGTAGGGACCCCGACCGTTTCAGCGACAGCAGTCCCGGTAGCACAGCAGACAGGGTTCGATGGTTATTTTAGAGATTTTCTTAAGATGGATCCCCCCACCTTTACTGGAGTAGGGACGCAGGAGGACCCGCACGAGTTCTTGCATCAGTTGGATGATTTGTTTCAGATCTTGCAGTGTTCCGAGGCGAGGCAAGTGCAGTTGACAGTTTTTCGTC